TGTATAATCCGTGTGCATCTCTGCTGATGTCAACGTCCCGGCGCAGACATTAACACTCAAGTATATGGTTTGCATTTGGGGCGCGAGGGAATTTTTCTCCCATAAAATAAGTAAAATACGTTCTGAGCACCTTGGGAGGAAGCCATTCTAATGCTTTTATTCTTTCCAAAGGAAAATGATTCCATATTCAGGGCACTGTGCAAACAATTAATTAGCCTAATGAAAATGAAAGGTCTAATTGCTCAGTATTATTATGATCATTGGCAGCCAGGCGTGACCAAAGAATAGGCACTGTCTTAGCAGTGATGAAGTGCAACTTTCCAGCTTTTGAGGCTTTTTGGATATTTGAACATCTAGCAAAACAGATTTTTTTTTTTTTGAGTGATGCTGTAATTCTCTCTTCCACATGCAAAAAAGCTGGCAGTATTTGGAGACATCTGAATGAGCTGCTATACAATTAAAAAAAAATGAAGAGGAGAGAGACCCAGCTGGTGTGAAATGACCTGGCTGAATGGAAGTCGATAAAGCTATAACTTGCCCGAGTTGAATGACATGATGGTGTCTCCACTGCATATCTCTGGCAGGAGACCTGACTCACAAGACGAGAGTGCTGCAACATTAAGAAAGAGTGTTTGTATTTTTTAAGGAGCACACGTAAAATTAAAATACAATCATCCTTAATGGAGCTCCCTTTTCAATGATCTGTTGGTACAAATGGAAAAGCGCTTTAAATTCATGCAGATGTATTTGTTCACTGTGGATAAGATCATGAAGCATCATGATAGGATCATAAGCACAAGCCTTATGAGGAGCGGCTGAGGGAACCGGGGTTGTTCAGTCTGGAAAAAAGGAGGCTCAGGGGAGACCTTATCGCTCTCTACAACTACCTGAAAGGAGGCTGTAGTGAGGTGGGTGTCAGTCTCTTCTCCCAAGGAATAAGTGATAATACAAGTCCTCAAGTTGTGCCAGGGGACGTTTAGACTGGATGTTAGGAAACATTTCTTCACCAGAAGGGTTGTCAAGCATTGGAACAGGCTGCCCAGGGAAGTGGTTGAGTCACCATCCCTGGAGGTATTTAAAAGGCGTGCAGATGTGGTCCTTAGGGACGCGGCTTAGTGGTGGACTTGGCAGTGCTATGTCAATGGTTGGACCTGATGATCTTAAAGGTCTTTTCCAACCTAAACAATTCTATGAAGAGTCAGGTTACAGGAGCTTTAAGAAAACAAACCATAAGAAATGCACATCTTGTAACATGGAGACAGAGAGCAGATGCTGACTGAACATTGACCTAGCCCGAGGAGTATGGGTCCAATAACTCTCCTTTAAGCAGCTGATTCTCATGGGAAAATCACAGAATCACAGAATCACTAAGGTTGGAAAGGACCTTCAAGATCATCAAGTCCAACCATTAATCCAGCGCCATTGTGTACCCTAAACAATGTCCTGAGAGCGATAAGGTCTCCCCTCAGCCTCCTCTTCTCCAGACTGAACAACCCCAGTTCCCTCAGCCGCTCCCCATAAGACTTGTGCTCCAGATCCCTCACCAGCTTCGTTGCCCTTCTCTGGACACGCTCCAGCACCTCAACGTCCTTCTTGTAGTGAGGGGCCCAAAACTGAACACAGGATTCGAGGTGTGGCCTCACCAGTGCCGAGTACAGGGGCACGATCACTGCCCTAAATGCCCAAGATCCAGCTTTAATTCTATTATCTGCCTTGTGCAGAGACTGGCAGCCAGAAACTATTCTTTAAAAACAACATGGGTGAAGTCTGCAAAAGTGAAATTGAGGAGAAAGCAGGGCCCTTCCTGAAACCATTTCAGGTCTGTAAACATTTGTTTCTGCAGCTGGTAACAATTATTAGAGATGCTGCTGGGGATTTTGAGACATAAAAAAATAACAGACCCAAAGATGTCATAGCAGGAACGGTCTATCCCAGCAACCTTTGTCAGGCTGGCTAACAATATTCTGCTTAGTTGAATACAGCTGCTATTTAACAGCAGCTACTCATCATCCCTTACTGATAAAAAAGAAAACTCTAACAAAAAGAAGCTTTTGGTTTTAATTTATTTTGCAAATCTACCAATTCATTTTATGAAAGTATGAAATCCTATGTGGTTACATTAATCAGTTACATTACAATCCAGGTAATACAAACTACAAAGTTAGTTTTAGGTACGCTTGGATAACAAGTAGATTTTACATTATTAAAAAAAAAGTCACAAAGAGGAGATAAAATAGCCTTGTGATTGTCAAATAATTTAGTTTAAAGCAAGGAAACCACTGTAGACTCTCCTTGTCCTACAGAAAGTTAAGAGAGAAACACTGATGGTTACATAATCTTTCAATGTTAACGTTCAATTAGATGCATCAAACAAATTGAAGTGCACACATCTACTCCGGATAACAAGAACAGTTCACAAGTTGTTTGGAAACCAGTGTCAGGTTTCATCCTCTGGAAATTACATTTACCGTATAACATCACCATCATCCTTGCTTTCAGATGCATAAAAATCCTGTAAGATCATTTGTAAAATACATTAGAGCTTCAAATTTGCTCTAATTGAATTCAGTGGGAGTAGGTTCAGTTCCTACATTTAATAAGTACTCCTGATTTACTGAAATCCTTACAAAACAGCCTCCTTCCCAGGAATGAAATTTAGTGAGCAAAATACTGTAATAATTCATGAAAACTTTTAGCTTTACTATCCAGCAACTGACACTGCAACTGCATTTCTGAGGACCTTTATGCATGACTATTCTTTCCTCTCTACCAGCAAAAGGACACACAGTCACCAAGTAACTGTGCTTAGTAAGAACTCGGTGATATGTAAATAAAGTATAAAAAAAAAAACAAAACAAAGAACAGATTGACTTAATCTAGAAATGGCTCTCCTGACACCCATCTGACACACCTCTAGTGTCATTCTTCTGCCTGTAAGCTGCCACTTCTGATGAGACATCTGTCAATCATGATTGCATAACTGCTTCTTAGGAAGCACTTAAATGGAGCTTTGATTTTGTAGCTGCAGCTCTACATTGTGTATTTAGTTAGGGGCAAGATGCTACTGCTGCGTATAATGCAACAGTTTCACAGAAGCAAGGAGAGCTGTTTATGGTGAAAAAAGGAAGGTGCATGTACAAACCTGATGGCCTGTGGCACAAAGGAGATTAAGCCAGATCATTTTCTCTCGTAGCCTTCACCTCTTCCAACCAGGACATCCAATGGTGCAAACCCCCAAATCTCCACTCATGCACGTGCAACAAACCCGCAGAGCTCATTGTAGTACAGAAGTGAAGGCAGCAGCATCTTAGCAGGGCTTCTAAGAGAGCTAGGCATTTACCCACAGGAGTATCTTTTAACACTGATCACCTCAAAAAACTTAAAGAAACCAGACAGGTTACACAAAACTATACAAACTTTTCACCTGGACATAAAGTGCCATCGAACTGTGGAAGCAAAAAAGAAGTCACTGTTGAGGGCCGTAGCTGTATGTGTCTACAGAAGGCTTTGTTCCCCTGAAGCAGATAAATTTTGCTACAGTCTTGGAAATGGTACCAAGCTGGTGGGAACACTACTATAGCCATGGCTAGTAATTTTCTTCCTTCCTGAGAAACCCCACTCTTACCTGACACACCAAAGCCATCTAGGCTGCATTTACTGGTGGCTGACTGTACAACTTTCCCCAGAAGGCAATTTGAAATGGTAATAGATGCTTCAGTTTCTCATTCTCTGATATGATACGGTAAATATAAGTTGTTCAAATCCTTTCTTACGAGTATGCCTTACAACAGACGGCCCCACCCTTTTATTACCACTGTGCCTGCTTGTTTTCCATCTCTACTCATGTAAATGTAATGTCAAATCCTCTTAAGAATCCTGAGCAGGCATCCAGAATCACTTGTTCAACTGACATTTCTGTAATAATAAGGAAAGAAAAAGAGTTGTGGGAAATTAAATGGTGCTCCTGTTGCCAAGTTGTTAAAATTATATGGCAATAGGCTTCCAGTAGTTGTAAGAAATTAATTTGTGGAGTGCTTACAAGCCTTACATCTACTAAATCTCAACAGGATATAAAATGCTATTTAAATGATACAACTTACAAATGTTAAGGAGAAAGAAAATCAGCACCAAAGAGTGAAAGAAGAAACTAGATTCTCGTGTGCACCAATTCCTCGTGGCTGGATCTCTACAGCTGAGGAAGCCATGTGGGAGATCCTCGTTGAGGTACTTAATGTTCTGTATGTATGTCAGCACCTGCAGCTCTCCCTGCTGCCACCCCTCTTCAGCGGATGCGACAGGGCACGTTCAGTGAGTTACTCCACTCCTGTAAACAGTGGCTGGCAAACAGCTTGGCCAACCCCAATAACCACTCCCTCTTCCACTGCTTTCTGAAAGTACTAGCCAGATCAAAGTGAGTGTCACTACTCTTTACCTCCTTTACTATAATGTTGTTCAGAAAGAAGGGCCTGAGACACCTGATCTGCAGATGAATTCATTTTTAAATTTATGCCACTGTGTGATTACTGTCATTCTTTTCTCACAACAATGTCAAATACAATGCAAAACTTTGGATTTTCTATAGTGAGTGAAAAGAGCAAAGTCAAAAGACAGTGCCGGCAGTGCTGTTACTGGTCCATTCTGTAAGAGAACCAGGGTAAGGCGCTTTGGCAATCAGCACCAAGTTTAGTCGAGAAAAGAGCAAAGTCAAATTTGCTCTCCGTAACAACAATTTGCTCTCCGTACACTGGAGTATGCACAAGTTTTCTGCAGATGCAAGGAAAACTGAGACCCTCCGGTTGTATTCTAAGCTGCTTTGAAACTACAACAATTCGTTTAATCCAGCAGCAGATCCTGGTACTTTTTTTCCTAAGTACAGTACGTTTTGACAGCAACATAGAAGCACACGACACAAAACAGATTTGTTCAAGCTCACCATGGTTGTGATGGGCTACACGCACCAAGAGGCAATTCAAAAAGAGCACACAACTCAATCAATCAGGACAACACTGACTCAGAGGAATTCTGGCTCCACTTTGTGAAGGAAGAAAGAAAGCGTTCACAAAGGAAAAGATCTTATTGCAAGTTGTACCGCTCAGCTTGGCCACTTCTAATACAGATCGGAAGTATCAGGAGCTACCAAGGAGACAAGGACAAAGAATTCCTATTTTGTAAATATTTTAAGTGTAGCAAGCTTGCTTTAAAAAGAAAAGCCACTGCACAATATTCCAAATGGCCTTCTCCAACAGACTTGAAATAGTTAGGTCAACACTGACAGAAAATACAGATTTCGGTAGCAGTTCTGGCACTTTGCAATTTGGAAAACTCTTGTGCGTATGGGATTGAGGCAGCTTGTTTGCAGACTCCTTTCTCGCAGTATCCTAGGGTCACCTCTGCTTCTTTCACAACAGCATATGGCTGGACTCAGCAGGTGCCTTCCTCAGAAGGCGCAAACTGGCAGCTGTCGTGAGAAAGCGTGTCGATGCTCTGCACTTCTGACTGTGGGTGAATGGACACCTGAACGGCTATCTCTTGACCTTGCTCATTCATGGACCCATCGTCTGAATCCCCGGCTGGTGAATCGCTGCGCTTGATCTCTGGGTTGACGGGGTATATCGCAGCTTGGGTACCGCAGGCTTGGGTCTGCTTTTCCTCCTCACCAACTTCGTCAGGATCATCAACTCGCACAGCCTCAAAGATCTCCTCCATGAACGCTCTGCAGTTAAGGATCAGAGGTGGAAGGGGAATGCTTCTGGCAAGCTCTTCAATGTACCGAGCAAACTCCATGGTCTTAAACTGAGTGACTTTAGCCAACTCTAGTGTTTTGGCAGATGTAATAATAGGGATACGCTTGGCTATCTCAAAAGCCTTCTGAAGCTTCTCAGCGCCTTCCGTCCTGAAGAACTCATTGATAGCCTTCTCTGTTTTGCGGAGGTGACTGCTCATCATGCACAGACGGGTTATGTTTAAAATGAGGGTGATAGCAAAGGCAATGAGGCACACAATCATGTAGTAGATACTCATGTCTCCTGAGGTGAAGATGACTCTCAGGGTGACTGTGTAATATAAGGTGTCGTTATGATTAACAGCTGCACACGTGTATCGCCCCCGGTCAGCAAAGTTGACCTTTGTGATGTTAAGGGAATTATCAGCAATCCTCCACCGGCCACCTGGAGATTCAGAAAAAATAAGCTGAGCTAATGAAACAAAAATCACTAGGTAAACTAGACATGTGCTGTTTGCTCCATCAACAGGGGACAGAACTTGGAAGTAAGCAGTCCATTTCTAGCATAATACAAACCGTACACCAAGGATTGAAATTTCCTTTTCATGCTTGTGATACAGAAAGCCATAACCCAGTTACCAATCATACTGCTTACTGGCAAATTATTCTGCACGCTTGCTACTCTGTTTCTTCTCCTTTCTCTCATCTGCACTTTCTTGTGTGCTTTTGGACTGCTGGCTCTTTCTGACAGGGAACCTAATTCTTAACTAGTGCTTCTCACCCACTGTGTTGAAAGGCTGTCCTCTATAAAGTCTAATTTTCCATACTTTGGAGTCAAAAGTCAAGTGACCCATGAAAAAGATCAGAGTCTGTAAATGGCTCTGCTGGCAAAAAACCCAGCATTTTCTTGAGACACAGTTTTTTGCTGAGCATGCAGTGCTGATATACAAAATCCATGTAAAAAAAAAAATCAATAAAAGAAGCTAGCTTTATACAGTAAATTCTATGCATTTATAACTTAGGGGGAAAACTGTTTTCATAACTCATTCTTCTAATTACTCTACTTTGAACCAATCTCCAGATGGCATTATAACTACAAAGAGGTTACTGAATACTTAAGGCAGAAAGATGGCCTCTGTGAAGATCCTATCAATTAGCTCAATGACCTTCATTAATACTAATAGAGAAAACCACATGCATCTCCGAAAGACATTATTTTTTGAAAATTAAAAACTACAGGGACAGAACTATAAGAGCCAATGTACAAAATGGTTAAAAAGCACATATTTCATCATTGGACATTACAAATCGTGTTAGTTTCCACAGTCTCACTGGTGCGTAAACCAGAAAATAAATGTGCTGAGTTACCCCATGCTTTAAAACATCCTGTAACAAAATTAAAGCACTGATTGCCAGCTGGAGAACATCACAAGTTGTGGAGAATTGTGTTTAATTCACGTGTTTGAAAAAATGTAAGATACACCAGAGCAATAATAAATAAAAAGATCATTTAATATCTGGTAGGATGCAGATTAATTTCTTCAGTATTGAATACCGTGATGCCTCTTGAACGAAATGATTCTGTGGGGCACCAGAGCAGGATGGATGGGCTAGGACAGAAGAACTCAGGTATAATTCACATGCCACATGCCAAAGGGCAAAGGGCTTTGTCTTGCTTTCTCCTTATCTCCTGACTGTAAAAATGGGAGGACAGGAAGAGAAAATGATAATAAAGTCCCAGAGGTTTTCAGATACTGTATCAAAGGGGAATACTGAAGGATAGAAAACAGCAGGAAAGCTCACCTTCATCTTTCTGTTCAAGCAGGTGTCCTCTGGAGTTATACCAACGAATATATTCATACTGGCTGATGTTCAGTTTGCATTCAATTAAAATACTGGTCCCCTCTTTGGCTATGATATCATGGTGTGCTGGAGAACTTACTAAAGCTTGAGACACTGTATGAAGTGATGCATTGAAAGACTCAAAAGCTACATTTTCCAGTGTAAATCCAATTGAAAGATCAGCACTAACAGTCAAAATTAACAGGCAATAGCTGAGCTTCATGGAAAGCTAGAGAAAATTCTTTTTTCATTTAATTTGGAGAAATGAGGTCATATGATATTAAGATGTCTGTATTGCTCTGAGATAGGAAAGGAGGGTCTTGATTTGTTCAGTGATAGAAAATGTCTTGGATCCAAATGCACTTTAAAGATCATCAATACCAGAAGTGGAAACTGGAAATCCAACTGGAAAAAAACAAAAAGAATTAAGTTTATTAATGGTAGCAAGCTTACGGCATATTCAAATTTCATTTCCAGTAAACAGATTTCGATTAGCGTAATACAAACTGTCAGCTGAGAGGTTCCAAATCAGAGCTTTGCTCAGAACACAGTAATGAACGGAGAGTAAGAAGGCATTAGCACAACCTTCAGTTCTCTAAACGTTCTTCTTCCCATCCAAATAAATAATCTCAGGAACAATAATCATTAAGGGGTAAAATATTTTTTAAAAAGAACAAATTGTTCAGACTACTCGAAATGCATAACTATCTTTAGGCTCAGGAAGTGGATTCTGCATTTGTTAACAGACAAAAAGTGCTTTCTTAATAGAGGAAGAAAAGCAAGGAAGAGGATATAATTCCTGCCTCCCTCCCCACCAATATCAAAGTGCTTTTAAGCCCTGGTTTTCTAAAGCCAGTCTTTCATTTAGCATCTGGAGAAAAAACAAAGCACACACACATCTGTTTTTTAGCATTTATACATCTACTTACTTGAATTTAGAGGCACAATCAGTGTTAGATGCCTAAATACTACATAATATGCTTATAATTTCTTCTATCGGGAAAACTCTCTTGGCAGTTACCTACAGCCACAGAGAGGAAGTCCTTTTTTTTGAACTTCAGGACACTGATGTCTAAACATACTTCCTTTTTTGCAATGTCTCTTGCTTCTGCTGCTGTATTTTCTAACTTGGCCTCTTTTTTTTCTTGTTTGTTTTACAATAAGCTCCTGTTGAAAATCTTTTACTTTATGCTGTTACATGTCAGTGGTTGTGTCTTGTTTATCATCTTCTCTACCCAAATGCTGCCCCATATTGCACAGCAATTTGAGAAATTGTTTTGTCTAGGGACAGAATATACACTTTTCAAATGAATGTGCACAAAAGATATTTTAAGACATTAGGATATAGCACAAGGATTTTCCTTTTTTAAAAGCCAGAAAAAACCCAACTTGTAACAAAATGAGATGACCCTGATAAGACAAAATCTGTAACCAATTTTCCTGAAAGCCTGATTCAAGAAAATTTCTAATCCAATATGCATTCCCTTAAGTTATGATTCCACCTAAACTGCTCCAGAGCCCTAAAAAAAAAAAAAAAAAAATTACAAAGTACAGAATCCACAAGACAAAATGTCATCTTAAAGAATACCTCACTCCATCCCACTGGCTGTGTGACTTCAGACTTATCACTTTGCCTTCTACCAATAACAAATGCTAGTAGAGTTGAGTTTCACAAATATCACAATACAAAGAAATACATTTTCTTAATAAATAATACAAACACTTCTCATCCTTCCAGAATCACCAGTTAATACTGCCTAAACCAGACAGATAAGAAATCTTATCACTTATGAAAAATAATTTACTATAAATAAACACAGGTGATTTGTACTAACTGTCCTTTCAGCAGAGAAAAATTAAGCGTATTTAGGAACGGGAAAACTTGGTGATAACACACTACTGAGAGTAGGCATTTTTTCAGTTAAAATCTCAGAGGTCAAACCAGATTCCAGACTTGACATCTGATGAGAAACATGTATCTGACCCATTTCTATTGTGGCTATTGCCAAAACCAGTTTAACAAAGAAGGCAACGACAACAGCTGTGTCCAACTCTCCTTCAAGCTTGAGTAACCAACTCACCCACTGAATCCTGCAAGAGAAACTGGAAAACAGGCCCTCCACTTGTTTCCCTGTAAACAGCAATCTCTTCATCTGCCCTCTTTTTTTTTTATTGGCTTCACTCTGTTTTCTATGATGCTTCTTGTCTGTTCATTTAAGATGAGACCAGCACTGAGAACTCAATTGTACCATGGTGCTGACGAAGTTACTTTCCCACAGCTAAATGGTTAAAAAGTACCAAAGCCTCTTTCGTTCCTGTTTTCCACCAGTTACACTTTAGGCAAAGTGGTACTGAGTCCAGCTGCCTCCAGAGAGAGCATTACTAAGTCCTGCTGCCTCTGGAGAGAGCTTCCCAGCCACATCAACTGCACAGGTCTGAACACGCCCCCCCCCCAATTCTAAGGTTGCTGCTGATCAACAACTATTCTTGTGCTTTGAAGGAGTGATTTTAGCCTTCCTTTTTTAGACCCCTAGTATTCTCTGAGGGTTTCAGAGCCTTCAGAAGGCTGCTGACAACTTGGTAACCTTGTGCAGATTTCTTAAAGGCAGGCTGCAGACTGTTAGTAGTGTGTGGATCGCTGACATTTGGATTGACAGTGTTGCCATTTGAGTGTCTGTCACGGCTTGCGCTAGCAAGTGAGGTGCTGTGGTCACAGATTTTCAACCAACATCACTCCACGACCCAGGTGCTTTCAGTTAAAAATGCCACTGCACATTATGGCTTTTGCAGGCATTGGGACTTGACTTCACAGCATTTGATGCAGTTACAACTGATGATAGCTCTGCAGTGAAGACAAACCCTCATCAACCCATATGGAATCAAACACACAGAATAATTTCCAGTCTTCCAAAACAATAACCTCCCAACTAATAATGGTTTAGATTTATCAGAGAATAATTCCAGTACCTCCTGTACTTTGCCTGTGTTACTGTCATTTTCATTATTAAATTGTTAGATTTCAAAGTGTTTGTGACACTCCTCCTAAAAAGATATTAGGAACCTCAGTCAATTATTTAACACAAGAAGTACTCCTCAACATTTTGCCTCGTAAGAATAATTACCTTCAGTAATTGCATATGCTCTCCACTATATTTGCACTGAGCTTCCATAACGTATAAAACATCGGTGATGGGTCATTGAACTTTACTATTAAACTCTTCGAGGTCTGATTTATTAGAAATTGTTTGTCACGTTTCGCTTTTGGAGAAGCCATTATTGCTAAGCAGACAACGACCTCTCACTGCCGAGTGCTGGGAAAAACAAAATGATTTGCAAAATCCATATTCTTCAACCATCACACTTATGCAAAACAGCTGCTGGAGCTGATAAAGGATCCAAAAAGGATAGAGTGTGAGCAATGCCAACATCACAATTTTTCAAGAAAGCATTAAGCCCAAGCAAGATGAAATGTGCAGAATAGAAACTGGCTATTTTACAACTGAACCTGAAGTTGAGCTCAACATATTTAACCTTTATTAAACCATAAGTTGTAACAACAAATAGCAGTGGAAAGATAAAAATCCGTAATGCATACGCTTGTATGAGTCATCTTTGGCTCTTATCCTGAAAAAGTGTATTTGTGTTTAACTGAGAGTACTATAAGTAGTTCCACTGAGGTCAATGGAAGTACTTAAAATTATACACATGTACAAGGCACTGCAAAATTGGGGCCCAAGAGGTTACAAGTTATATGGTTTTACATTCACTGCTTATAACATCATTTCATACCTGGAGAAATGCGAAGCAATAAACCGAGACACACCTGACAGACCACAGACTGCTCTAACCGACTGCCACTTCTGGCACACGACGTGGAAACGCATTTGGGCATTTATAACAAGCCAATTGGTAATAATGCACACTAAATAGATCTAAATGGATCGCTTTTGCACAGAGCCCACCTTCCTGCTCACAGTGTGACGCCTTGCAGAAATAAGGCTGCTGTGACCATCCCGCGAGGCACCTCTGACCCCCTTTCAAATCTGGCAGCAGCAGATGGCAGAGCCCTGAAGACATTAACCCTTGGGAAAGTTGTGAAAATGGATGGTGTGGTCTTGACGAGAGGCATTACCATTCCCTGCGTGGGAGAGGTCATGGGGAGGATTCACCCTCTGCCGGCACCAGTAAAGGCTCCGCTGGGGAGCAGCTGCACCCACAGCCCAAAACCCACAGTAAAAAGCAAATCTACAGGAGATGAGAGCAGACCTCACCCGCATGGGGCTGCCTTATGAGATGTGGCGTTTTGCCATGCACGTGGACCCTGGGCAGCGTGACACTTGTCACGGGGTAACTCACAAGGGACACAGGACCAGCTGCAAATGAGAAGAAGCTTTTTTAACTCTGTCAGCTAAAAACGAGCAGGCACGGAAAGCCACAAAACAGAAACCCTGACCTCAGCAGCGCCCACGTTCGCTCGTGGAAAAACCCCACTCAAGATGGGCTGCTCGAGGCAGCGGGAAACACGACGCAGAGCCACACTCCCCACGTTGCAGCTGAGGAAACCCAGGCCACGCCGGCCTGACGTCACGCAGCTTGACGTCACAGGGGACTAACGTCACGCCAGAAGACTGCCCCCTTCCCCCTGGAAGCATTTTAATGCCAAAACAGCGAGGAAAGACGCGGGCCCCCGACTTCTCCCGCAGCAGCGGGGTAGGCGTGGAGGGGCCTGCGCGTCGCTGTGCCGTTTCCCCCGACTCCGACGTCGTCAGGTAAAACCTGGCGTCACCGTAACGCAGTGAGGTAGCGCTACACCGCTCCCA